CCCCCCCCACCCATCCACACACACGACACGAATATCCATGGTATATCCTTCCTCAGTCCCTCTCCTTTGTCGTGCGCCGCTGTCCTGGCCATCCCTCCCCTATTCCTTGTTGACTTTGTGACTGTGCGGGTACGGGAGCTGCCGCCAGGCCAGGCTGCAGCCGCGACACGGCTCCGGCATTGTAGCACCAAGTGTTCCATGCGTCGCACCGCGTAGGGGACCGTGTAGGGGACCGCGACAGCGTGTCGCAGTGTTGGCGGCGGCGTGAGCAACCAGCAGGATTGGAAAGAAAAATAGAGAGGAAAAGGAGGGGGGGGGGCTGATCTGTGTCCGTGCTCGTTCTTATCTTTCAAGCAAACTCGTAGGAAAGGTGTGGACTGGACTGGACAAGGAAGGCGCGCTCGGCGCGATCCGCGCGATCTCACCCGCAACAAATAAAAATTGAATTAAAAAATGAAAATGTTTGTCGGTGGTGTTGTTGTAAGAGTACGAACTCGGATCGCCTTCTCGTGCCGCACACGTCCCTCTCCGTCCCTCCCAAATCGTTGCGCATTGCGTCACGTGTGTTGTGTGAATGATTTCCATTCAATGGACGTCCGCGTCCTGCCCGCCCCTGCCCGGCCGCGAGGCAGTGCAGTGCGGCCAGGGTCGAGTCCACCAGCGGGACCATAGCGGCCCGGCCCGGCGGCCCAGCTGTCATTGGACTGCGATGCCGATTAGTGCGGCACGCCCCCCTCATAATCGTCATCATCATCATTATTATAATAACAATCATAACACACCCTTCTCCCCCTTCCCTCCACGGCGGCGGCCTCGCCGCGGCAGGAGCTCGCGCGGCGCGTTCGCTCAGATTGGTGGATTATCTCGCAGAATGTTTGACCGCCGAGTCCCGGGCGGGATGGGGATGAGGGGCGGCGGCGGTACGGGTGTCGCAGCTGCATCCACCTCCACCACCAGTCGCACCCACGCACCCAGTGGGCCCGCCGCGGAGCAGAGGGCGTCATTACCAATTGATATAAAGTTGATATGAATTCTCGTTTTCAAACAATCGAGCTTTATTAGCAACAAACTGTAAGAGCACGCTGAAACGTTTGTGCGCGGGGGACGAAAGCAGTGACGATAGCGTATCGGTGGCTGCGCCGACCGGTGACATCATACGGGCAGCGCGCCGAGGAGGGGAGGCAGCGCATCACATTCACTCACCGCCGTACAGACCGCCGCCGTGATTTATCGACCGCCCCTCGCGTCGCCTCGCGGTGGTGCCGCGGGCCGCGGGCCGCGACCGGGCCGGGTGGGGACCGCGCTAATAGACCGTGGCGCTGCTCCAGCACCTCCAGCACCACGCCTCCTCCTCCCTCGGCGGCGTGCTGGTCGTGGTGTGGTCCGCGCCACCCCGATGCATCAGGGTGCCGCCGTCCCCGAGTCCCGAGGGGCCGTTCCATCCGATATACTGTACATCAACCGCATGCACTGCCACTGTGACGCAGACCTTCCCCGCCCCGCTCCGCCGCCAGCCAACATCCAAGCGATAGCTGCCCGTCGTGCGAGGCCCAAGGCTTAACCCGTGGGATTGACCCTGGATCGACCCTTAATCGGCGTGCGCAATAATTATGACACCGTCCTTGCTACGTCGCAAAAAATGTTAGCTATCTGGCTATAAATTTAGGTTGTGTATTAGTTGAATAATTTGTTATTCTGCACTAAGCTATTATTGGTTTAGCGGTTTGGCTGCAGGCTATTTTTTTCCCGTGGGGGTTCTAGGTGTTACGGTTTGACGCCTGGATCTGGCCGCGGCCGGCCGCGCCCCACTTTGTTGACACAGCGCGCGCTGTCGTTGTTCTCATCCGCAGGACCGCATAAGGGACCCCGGCCACGGCTCCGCTAAGCTGATCTGTCCGTAATCTAAATGTTGAAATGCTGACTGCGCGGCCCTTTAGCCTGCGAGCCGCGCAGCTCCCCCCGGCGCGGTGTACTATCGTGTTCCGGTGCGGTTGTGGCTCAAGGCGACGAGTGACGCGCCGGCCGGGTATCTCTTCCTCTCTCCGTGCCGGATAAGGAACCACCTTGCCTCGCACGTCTCGTCTCGGCCCCCCCAGCCGCCCCCCATGCCATTCCGCGTCGCCTTTTATTTTTTTGTGCGACAGGAAATAGAGTCATTTTATGCATGAGCGGACGAGCGTGGCCGAGGTGTCTGGGCCCGGCGGGACGGAGGCGTGGCTCTGTGTGGTTTAGGGGAGGCTTGCTTCGTGCCTCATTCCACCGTTCACACATCCGTCGGTGTTTGTCGCTTTCGGGGTCGGGCCGGGCCGCCCCACCGAAAAAGTCATTATTCAACTCCTCCGTAACAGATTTTACGGCACCTTTTTAAAAAATTGCTCATCATTTGTGAGACACTATTTTCTCTTTCTTTTTGACAAAACGCCTTTTCGGTTTAGTTTTTATTTTTCCTGGTTTGAAATGTGTCGACACTGTATGCACTGGTGGGAGAGGGGGGGGGGGGTGCAAGGGAGCAGGCTGCCGCAGCGAGAGCGCCGAGCGGACGGGACGGATTCTGTTTCATCATATCGCATGTGGAGAGCGCACGCCCGTAGCACCATCGGGTCGGGGTGTGCCGGCGGTGTCCCGGCGGTGTCCTGCAGGCGGGCGCGGACATCCCTCTGCGCGGCCCTATCTCTGCTGCACCCACACTCACCCAATATGTATGCATGGTTTCCGTTCTTATCGTTTATCTCC